CATCCCTGGAAGGCCAGGCTGGATGGGGCTTGGAGCAGCTTGGGACAGGGGAAGGTGTCCCTGCTCATGGCACAGGGTTGGAACAAAGGGGCTTTAAGGTCCCTTCCCACTCAAACCATTCCATGATTTTATGACTGCATATGGCAGTGCCAGAGCAAGGACAGGGCAGGCACCCGAGTCTGTACCATTCTCCAAGAACCTGGGCACAGTTAACTCCTGGAGCCTAATGCAGAGGATGAGGGACCTGTCTGCCACCTAAATCCAAAACATTTCGCAGCTGGCTTTTAACTCAGCAGGGAGAGAGAGGCTGACATTGCAGAAGAGCTTGGCACTGCTCTCTGGATGACTATGGGAGTTCAGCAGAGTCTCTGATGAAAAATAAAGTTTTTCAAGAGTTGTGATGAGTTGAATCCACAGCAAAAAGCTTAAAGGCTGGTGTGGGAGCCAGGATTAATACTGAGAAGATACAGAGAATTTCCCAGGAATGAAGCTCCTTGAGATAACCAAGTCTTGCATTAAAGCTGTGACAGCAAGAAGAGAAGAGGCAGAGGGACAGGCAAGGCTGAACGGAGCAGAAGAAATTGCAGGGCCCTACTGTTGTGGCTGCCTCCACCAACCAGGACAATGGCAGAGCAGGGAAAAATGCCACCAGTGTCCCCATGGCCTGGCTTGACAGTGGCTCAGCAGAGTTTTGCACACAGTTGACTAACAGGATGGTGGTGAGACTGTGAGCTTGGTCAGAGTTTTCTTGGGAACACCAGATTTTGTTGCAGCAAAAAATAAGGACTGTCAGCCAGAACACAAGGAAGGCATTTCTGAATGTCATCCCAGACACTTACATGAAGTCACTGCATTTTTGTGAGCATTGCTACTGATTAGAAAAAAACTGCAAGCTATATGCAGAGACAAAAAAAAAAAAAAAAAAAAAAAAAAAAAAAAGGAGATTTATAGTAATGAATTACTTCCACAAAAGACATATGCAGTGTGTCCAAGTAGGTTAATAAATGCTTGGATGGCATTGAATTGAAAGGAGAAATGTTCAGTGTGGTCAAAAGTGCTGAGCACTTGATTACAGAATCACAGGATAGTGTTGTTTGGAAGGGACCTTAAACCTTCTTTCATTCTACCCCTCTGCCACAGGCAGGGACACCTTCCACTATCCCAGGCTGCTCCAAGCCTCATCCAATACAGTCTTGGACACTTCCAGGGATCCAGAGGCAGCCACAGCTTCTCTGGGCACCCTGTGCCAGGGCCTGCCCACCCTCACAGGGAAGATATTCTTCCCAATATCTAAGTTAAGCCTACTGTCCATTTGAACCTGTTCCCCCTTGTCATGTCACTACATGCTCTTGTAAATAGTCTTGCCCCATCCTTCCTTTCAGTTCCCTGTAGGTACTGGAAGATCTTGTCTCTGTGATGCTGTCATGGAATGAAGGACAGAAATGGGATGGGAGGAATCTTGAGACACCTTTCAAGGGATGAGAAATCACCCAATCCCTCAGGTTTGAAGGTGCTGACAGGCCACTGCTCTGAGCTGTGTGGAGGGAAGAGAATGAGTGGAGGGAAGCACAAGCCCTGGTGGGAAGGATGCAGTCTTGCTCCAAAATATAGGTTCAGGCAAGAGGTGGAGCCTGTGGTGTATCTGGCAGAGGGGAGTGTGAGCAGTGCTCATGCCTGAGCTCACAGTCCCAAACTCAGACTGTGCATCTGGGATTCAGCTCATGCCAAGCTGTGAGTGGCAGCACCTCAAGAGCTTGTGTATGCCTTCTCCTACTGATGGTGCAATGGGAAGGCCACATCTTTAACTGGGGGACAAGGCAGGGAGGTGGGAAACACTGAAATCTTCCCATCTCAAGTGGCCAGAGTGTATCTAGAGGCATCCTGCCTTTCTCTGTGCTCAGGGAAGGGATCATTCACCATAATCTGCAGGGGAAAAAGTGTTCTGTGTCTTTGTTTTTGCCCATGTTGGCTGAAACCATCCATAAACCACTAATTGCAACTGCTAAAAGAGAGCTGGCAGACATTAAACTTGCCCAGATTACCATTTTATGGGTAGAAATATGATTTTCAAACTGACTGTGGGGCAGATTGCAAGCTGGTGTCAGAGAGATGAGAAAGCATAATGTAGCAGAGCCCAAAGACAGACATTTTTTGTAGCAGTTTACTTTAAAAACAAAGCAAATGGACTCAGACAAATCTGAGATTTGTCGAGCAACAACCCAGAGTGAGAGCACAAAGATTTACACAGATTTTTCTTAATAGTTTTTCAGGCATGGCAAAGTTACAGACAACTCCAGCAAAAAGGCTTCACATCTGGGACTTAAGAAAGAAGGACCCCTCAGAGTGACAGATTCAATTATGCTGATGACAGAAGGCTGGTTTTCCTGAGCTGCTATTCTCGCTTTGGTGAAATAGCCTTACCCACTACTTGGGGGATTCCTCCACAGCAGAGTTAGATGGTCCTGACAGATGATGGCAGGATTTTGGGCAATTTGCAGAAAAGCCCAAGTCTGCATCCAGTCCCCACTAGACTCTATTCAACAAGTAGGTAGGAAATGGCTTTACATTAATGAATACTTAGTGAAAAGGAGAGCAGAATCAGATCTGACTGGTGCTTGTGGGATATCACCCACAGAATATGTTCAGCCACCTGAAACTACTCTTTCTGCATGAAATGATGCAAGGAGACCCTTTGGGCTGTGTGTCAGGCTCTGTAGCCCAAGGAGGAAAGGGTTTGCAGAAGTTCACAGACACACAGCTAAACACAAAACACTGCTGTGATTGCGGTCCCTGGGTTACCACCACTTCCTGAACACCACGGAATTCACACACACAATGAAAATCAGAAGCCAGAAACAACAGTTATTTCACATAAAATTGCTCCACAATCCCATGAGTGTAGGGTGTGTGTAACCAGACATGCCTGGAGAAAGAATAGGCAGCACCTTCTGCAACAGCCAGGAGGAGTGGAGGCAGCAGGCTCTGGGCTTTTCTTCTATCCTGAACAGCTTTGACAGCACATGGGGATGGTAAGGCCACCAGGTGCTGAGACATAACATTACCAGGAAAAACAGACTCCCATGCCCAATGAGAACTCCTCTGATGGTGCCACGGTGACTACAGGTTACAGGGCAGAACTCCTCAGAAGTTATTCAAACACTGCTAATTGTTTGGCTGTAAGGTTTTGAGGTCACAAGCTATAGAAATGATACTTCCATGTTTTGGGTGGGGAAGGAAGGTAGGATCTCAGGAACTGTGTCTTTAAGCAGCTTAGTTCTGGAGACAGGAAGTCTGGCAATGGGCTGCAGCAGTGCAGATTTTATTATGCAATTTCTCTTGGAACTAGTCCCTGAATAAAGGAGTTATCCATTAAGCACCTGCTTCACCCTCCCTCCTGAACACCACAGATGAAGGCCTCAGGAATCCTTTCAAGGGCTTACCCATCAGCTGGGGAGCAGGGAGCCATGCTTTGGGGGCCAGACTGGGAATACTGGTGTATTTGATATATACTGTCTTTGAAAAGTTTCTCTTCATTAAATCCTCCTACTCTGAGCTTGTTCCACGTTTGGCATTACCAGCAGGTGAGGCCATCCAAGTCTTGCAATACTGATACCAAAGGGCTGGGGTACCCCAGCCTACTCTTAGGCCTTCAGGGTATTTAATCATAACTCTCTTTCCAGGAGCAGTGGATAACAGCCAAGGTCTTCCTCTCCCTCCTGCCATTAACCCAGTGCTCTTCTGATCCCATGCAGGGGCAGCTGGGGCCATCCTAACGGGACATCATGGAGAAGCTGCAGGACATAGGGGCAGTAGGATCCTCCTCCTCTGCCCCTACTGCCTGCAGTAAAGGATTCCCTCCCTCCAAAGCACCTCCTTTCCCTCCTACTCTGTTCCTGGGACTTGAAGCCCCTCTCTGACTTCACTGATGTGGCACTTGCTGTAAAGATAGAGGAGTTCTCCCAGCTAATCATGGCCTCCATACATGCTCTGCTTTTCTCCCCATTCCCAACAGTGGGTACATGGCATTTCCCTCAGAGGCACCGACACAGCAGCTCCTGTCCCAGCACTGGGGCTGCCAGGGCCCCTGGCTCAGCAGCTGTGCGGTCAGGGCTGCAGTACTGGTGTAACACAGGTGTGTTGCCCAGCACCAGGCAGCACGGACATCCTCTGGAGACAGGCAGTAGCTGTGGGATTGCTCAGGATCTGTCCCCAGCGGTAAATTTCCATCCTGACTTTATCCCGGAGCTGCAGTTAGTGCAGCAGCAGGGAAGGGGGTCATGATGGGAGCAAAGTGCTATGGAGGACTCTTGGTGTCAGCAACTCCAGCATAGCCACATGTGATGTAATTGTAGAACCACAGACTCGCTTGGGTTTGAGAGGGGCTTTAACCACGAGCTTGTGCCACCTCCCTGCCATGGGCAGAGACACCTTCCACTAGCTCAGGATGTCCAGGCTGTAATGGCCAAGGCAAGCACAAAGAGTGATCCAAGATGCAGTTCAAAATACACTAACCAAACTGTTTAAAAAGTTGAAGCAGGAGTCAGAAAAAGACACTCTGGGCTGTGACTTAGAGTCTGACCTGACGCCCACCCCTCACCTTCAACAGCAAAACATTTTCCTTTAACCTAAACTGGGATAAATGCTTTAAAACACAGTAAAATGCTGCTGGATAAGGGCTGATGTTTTTACATCTAGAAGTACTGTGAAACACCAAACCCTGTCCCACACTGAAACATTCTGAAACAGATGGGAACTCACTGCTTTAGAAGGAAATTGAAGCAGGCATAAGCAGAGAGCCCTTACTTGGGTAACTAATGAGTAATACAGTGATAGAAGCAGAGGCCTATCAGAGACCTCCATGTGATTACAGCCAGACCTCAGCAAGGACAGGCACCATGTAAATAAATACAGAATTTGCAAGTAAATGTAATGAAATTCATGTAAATGTAGAAGTAAATGTAATGAAATCAAGTTTTGCAGTAAACAAAAGGCAGACTTACTCTTTGCAAAGGAATCTGTCATTATAGATCTCCTTTAAACCAATAAATTATTGCTGTTGAATCCATCTCAGCTTATGGAGCTCCTCAGCATATCCTTAGAATTGTGTCCAGCCCTTCTCCAGCCTCTCTTCCCATTGTGGCTGCCCTGGGAGGACATTCCAACATGAAGGCGATGAAAACAGCCCCAAGCAACCAGTTTGGGTACAAGGAGCTCTGCTGCCACACACGTCACTGGGCTTATACGACCTGATTCTCAGGTTGGGAACCAGTATGGAAATCCATGGAAGTATGTGAGCTCCAGTCTTCTAAACCTGTTTTGGGCTGGGGAAGTCTGTCTAGACAGAGCAGAAAGTGTTTGTAAAGTGAGGCTGGGTTTGATGCTGGTGCCTGAGAGTGGGTCATCTCCAAAGGGACACTTGCCCTCGTGTGTCTGCTCTGAGGACATGGGGGAAAATGGGGGCACTGAGGGGGAGCTTGGGAGGGGATGTTGTAAGGGGGACATTGTGAGGGAATGTCCACAGGGGGATTGAGAGGGGAAACTGAGAAGGGACACTCTGAGAGGGACATTAAGAGAGAGCATCTCTGTGCAACTGAGAGGGGAAGTTGAGAGGTGACTGAGGGGAAACTGAGAGGGGAGACTGTGAGGGGGATGGCTGTGAATTGGGCATTGAGGGGTGGCATCTATGGTGAAACTGAGAAGGCAGACTGGAAATGTAACTGTGAGGAAATGTAACTGAGATGGGAGTCTGAGAGGAAAACTGAGGGAAAGACTGAGAGGGGACATGCATGGTGGGACTGAGAGGAGATATTGGGGTAGAGGCTCTGAGGAATATGAGGGGAGAAAAGACTGTGAGGGGGTATTGAGCCATCCGTGATGGGACTGAAAGGAGATTGTGGGGGTTCTCTGAAAAGTTCTCTGAAAGGACTGAGAGGAGAAGGGGAGATCATGGGGAGAATTGAGAGGGCAGTGTGAGGGGGGCACTGCAACATGTGACGGGAGTTAGAGAGGGGACTGTGGAGCAAGGGCTCTGATGGACTGAGGGGAGACTCTGAAGGGCCAGTGGGCCCTCCATGGTGGGACAGTGAGGGGAGATTATGGCGGTTACTATGAGGGAATTGAAGGGAAAGGGAGACTGTGTGGAGACTTGAAGGTGTCACTGTGAGAGGAGCACTGAGACATCTCTGGTGGGACTGAAGGGAGACTGCGGGGGACGCTGTGAGGGGGAAACAGACATATGAGGGAGTCGGAACCCTGTGAGGGGTCAGCTCTGGGGTCCTGAGGGGGAGCCCCTATAGAAGCAGACAGGAAAGACCGATGCGAGGACGTGGGAGGGAAATAATGCACTGAGGGGACTGAAGGGAGACTATGAGGCAGCACCGGGAGGAGGCACCTGAGACAGCTGAGGGGCGACGGAGAGGGGACGCTCTGAGGGGGTACTGCGGGCGGTGCCCCGACCGAAGCAAACAGGGAACGCACCGAAGCGGGGCACGGCGGCGGAAAGAGAGCGCAAAGCACCTCATACACGGTGCGTGAGGCGGGGTC